AATAACACAATCTGAAAGTCACAAGTTGGGATAACCTTGATGAAAACTGGACCCCCTGAGAGAACAGCTGCTGTGTTAACCAGATTGGAAAAGGCCCTTTTGGTCCCCACTTCAGTAAACCTTTATCTTGCTTCCCTTTTTTACTCTTCTTTAGTCACAGCCTCTGATAGAAGCATGTAGTGAGTTAAAAATAGTCTATCTGAATGGTGGCAGCATGCAAGAAACTGAGTTGACACACAGTGGTGGCTGGTGTCCAACTCTATTTTGTTCCAGACATTCTGTTTATAATATAGATTTTCTTGGGGAACCAATATAGATTTCCTCGGGGCACTCAATGGGTGAAGAGAAGTAGCAATAGGTACATCTGCCTTAGAACTGTCCTGTTTCCCAGAATACTCTGAGTGGTTTGTTGCAGGTTTGTCTTGGCTTTCCTGTCAACTAATAGTTCAATATGATTAAACTAAGCCTAGCTGAAGATCCACTATTCCCAAACTCCTGCTTAGGAAATTTTCCCCTTTATCTCCAAAACTCCTTGTATTTTAATATTTGTGAGGTACAATGTAGGTTCTGGGAACTGAACAAGGGTCCTCTGGAAGATTAGTAATTGCTCTTAATCATTAAGCCACATTGCCAGCATGTGAATTTAGACTTCTGCCAAGCTTTGGCATTTTTTATACATCCCCAACATGACACCCTAATCACTTCCTGGGGGTGATGCTGCCTAATATACTTTACCCCACCACATCTGAAATTAGAAGAGCTCTATGGACTTTGATTTCACAATGTCAATAAAGTACGTTCCAGAAGACACTCGCAACCCTACTGTTAATTCAAAGACGGAAAAGGGCACCCAGAGTCAGAGGCAGGTAAGCAATTTTAGGATCCATACCTCTCCTCCTACACTGTCAGGTGCTCACCTTCACTTAGGAGCCTACTGTCAACAGACAACCTTTAAGGATATTCCCCACAGTCTAAATCTTAGCACACAGCACAACTTATGGCAATGGTTCTCAATCTGTGGATTGAGATCCCTTTGAGACTCAAACAACCCTTTCACAGGGGTCTCCTAAGACAACTGGAACAGATATTTACATTATAATGCATAACAGTAGCAAAGTTACAGTCATGCAGTAGAAATAAAAATAGTTTTATGATTGGGGGTAACCACAATCATAAACCACAGGAGGAATTATTTTAGAGGAATGCAGCATTAGGAAGGTTGCAAACCACTTACTTAGGGACTTAAATTCCCTATAGTTCTGTAATCTTCAGAGAATCACTCATGAATATACTCAATAACATTAATCATTTTCAACCTCCCTTTTAATCCAAAGTCTTCACTCTAAAAGAAATTAGAACAGAAGAAAGATGTAATATATAAATGTAAAAGGCTTTTAGCACAGTAAATTAGGGGTCTAACACACAAATTAGGGAGTTCATTGTACTAAAACATGAGATGAAAGTAGGAGTCTAAGTGGTATACACAGTTGCGTGGCGAAGATAATTTCGTTGGAACGTCCTCTTTTTAACAGTGGACTTTTCACACTTTGTAGTAGATTTCTGAGATGAATACGCCCACAAATCCCACTTTTGAGCATCCTCTAATTCTCGAGTATAAAAACTGATGGTGGGGATGCTGGAATGAGGGAGGCAATAGGTGCAAGCTATGGAAGAAGACATGGGGGTAATTTCTTTTCTGGTTCTCACTCATTGACTTTTCATTTTCTGTGATAAGTAAGATCAAATACATTCCATAGTGAAGTATATAATCCAATATGAAACTTCCCAGCGCCGATTCTGAATGGTTGGCTACTCTGAATTTCAGTGAGTAGTACAGTTTTGGGTCTGGATAATTTCAGTGTATGAGATTTTTCATTATCATTTGCAACTTTTTAAATAATAAAGTTAAATTTGTTTTTAAAAAAGGAAAGTGTATTTTGTCCATATTTACAAACCTAACAGGGTATGTGTCATGCAGATTAGACAGCAACTGGCAGCAGTCGGGTGCCAAGGCACAAAGAATATTGTGACCTGCAACACCAGGATGCAGGAAACCCTAGTGGTTATTCCACCAACACATTCAGAGCACTGGAGACCTGACTGCCTTCAAACAAAGGTCCTACCATGAGAACGAAGCCACTTGTTTTGTAACAATAGAAGTACAACTCCACACTATAGGATTGGAAAGAACAAAAGATTAAAAGCAAAACTTCTTTCCTTCAGTGGCTGAGTGAAAGTGAGGAAAAAGAAATTACTATTGAGAAAAAAAACTCCTGGTTGAATCAGAAATCAGTAACAGCTAAGCACAAGGAGTGCTAACACTGGTCTATTTTTAATTGATTTTAAAAACTTGGTCATAATCATTTAAAGAAATGATTACCTTATTATAAGAACTAGTGGGAAAACTCTGGATTGTGCCAGAAGCATTAGGGAGCATTAACTAAATCAAGATAAAGTGAGAAAGATGTGGCTTATTAATTTTACTAGAGTAGTTAACAGCTCCTGGCTGTTTCCAGGGCTAATGCAGAGAATGGGAATTCCTGGATAACAAGGGAGTGTTACTTGATTTCCTGTCTATTAATAACAGAGGGATGCAAGCCCTGGTAATTAAGGGGCTGCCACCTAAACTTCACTGCCCAGAGGGAGGTGAATCATTGAACAATCAATTTACAATCACAGATAACTGAGACTAGAGTTGGGACTGGCATGCCTTTCGGAGAACAATTTCATTTCGAGATAATGAAAGCATGCTGGAGAAGATGGACCTTCAGAGATGCAGATTAGAGATTGCGGCAGCAGCTCAATTTCATCACAAATACGCAGCTTGACCTCTTGACCCCAGTGTTACATGAGAGTATATGACACGGAAGCGGTGTTTAAAATTATTGAAATTAAAACAGGCTTTATTTCAGAGACAAAACTCTCCTTATGCCACAGATATTTGAGGCATTTTTCTCTTTCATTCACCGGGAGCTCCAGGTCTTTGCTTTCCCCCAATTTCACAGACTGTAATGATACAGAAGCATCTCTATGACTACCCTCTGAAGCAGCACAGCTGTGCACATAAATAATCTTATCAGTCACCTCCTAACAGATGCCTGCAGGAGAAGAGACACTGCCAACATAATCACTCCAGCCTCACACCAAATGATAACAATCAATCTCGGCAACCAATTTAGTGTGTTGATGTGTTTGGCATAATTTCCCCAGGATGGGAGTGATGGTATTATAACCTACCATAGAAAGGATAAGAGTCTTCATCCCTAAATATGACACACATTCACTTGGTTTCAATGTTCCCAAAACTGAATGGCATTGTTTGTTTTAACTAATGGAGTGTCTCTAAAATGAATGTCTACAGTGAAGTCTGCATACAGCTCTTCACTGTGGATCTTGCTTTTTTTCTGAAGAAACAGTTAGTTTAAAAAATATCAGTTATCTGGACTCAGTGTTTTACAGAAATGCTATCAGGTAAATTAAGGAGTTCAATATAAAACACATGTATCAGTGTTTAAACAAAAATATCACAAAACTCTTATGAAAATCTGAATTAGAAACTTAAAGCTACTAATAGCACTTCTTGTAAAGTGATGTCTTACTTTTTACAAGGAGTAAACAAACAAACAAAAAACAGTAGTGATCCAAATAAAAACCACAATGATTACACAGTGAATAAATAATGAGCTAGATTGCAAAGATACCCAGATCTTTAGCATGGAATCTGCATTGACAAAATGATCTTGATCTAAATTTACTTCAAGAACTGGCCAAGTCATACCTGAAAATGCAATGTAAGCCAATCATGTAAAAAGAAGTTCAGTACTAACAAGACAAAACGTGCAGAACAAACTGACGTTAGTACATTAAAGTTGTGTTGGGAAAACTAAATGACCCAGTGCTTAAAGTTCTTTGCTCACTGCCTTAAAATTTGTATGGACATAACTATTTTATCTACTCAATTGAATACAATGATTGCTCTCAGTAAGTGTAAACAAACATTTTAAAATACAGTCCAATACTCAAAGACCATAATACAAATATTTTAGTCAGATTACCAAATACTTTATTGCAACTTAGAGTTTTTATTTTCAAAGTCATTGTCTGTGAATACTCATAATCTATGATTTACTATTATTATAGACATCTGTATTTAAAGTGTACTACCATATGTATTTATCAGAGTAACAATTTGCTAGATGATTCTTTTTGTTTAATTTTGAAATTATTTTATATCCCCACTGCAGTTTCACCTGCCCCCTCTCCTCCCCAGTCACTCCCTCCCAACACCCACTCTGTCCCCTACCCCTTCTTCCTCTAGTTCTATTCAGCAAACGGCAGGGCTCCCATGGATATCAACAAAACATGGCATATCAAGCTGTGGTAATACCACCATGAACGAGCCCCGCCTCATTTATCTCGAAAGCTAATCAAGGTCTGACCTGGTTATTACTTGAGTAGGAGATGTTTTTAAATGAACATGTCATTGCGATAACTAAGCCATCAGATACCAACCACGTGGAATCAGTATGTAAGGGAGTAGACACCAGTTTTTTTAGCAGAGAGATGAAAACAGATTTAATTTCACAGATTCGAGCACAACCTTTAAGTGTTCAAATATTAACAAAGAGAGTATGTGTGAAAAAAGAGTGAATTTTACCTTATGCTTTAGAAATACTCTCTCTCTCTTTCTCCTCTCTCAATCTTAGTTTTGCACGAGTATTAAGGTTTCCTTGAGTTTTCCCACAATCTAATAGTCAAAGATCCTTAATAAAACCAACTAACTTGAAGGAAAAAATTTCAAGGTTGGGGTTGTGTGTATGTTGAACAGGTGGACATGAAGAAAGTTTTAAGTCAGCAGGTGGTGCCCTCAGAGTGACATGGGAAGAAGGATAAGAATAATGGAAGAAACTCAAAAGGATGAACCTCTAATCTGTGTTGTAACGTAGCATCAGTTCCAGCAGAAGACAGCAAGGAAGCAAAGGAATTTTACATAGACTTACCTTTGAACTACATCCTCCCCGTTCCAGCAGGGCCTGCCTTCAGCTGCAGCTAACTCAGTAATGCAAAGCTGGTCAGCCAGGCCACCATAGAAAGACCTGTGCAGTCTAAGGCTGTTGATGAACTCTCTGAAAGGGAAAGAAAAAATGCTTTTAAACCCATGGAGAAGATCCGCATATATATTATTACAAATACCTTGTAGAATGCTAGACTTTATTTATTTATGTTTGCATAAGGCATTTTTCTAACAACCAGTAAAATAATTATGAATGTCATGTTAATATTTACATTTATTATTGGAATAGAAAAAATTCAGTGGCTATAAGTCATATTTTAAAGACAAAAGATTTTAGATACCATTTACCTACACATGCACACATCCCATTTCATTCAGTGTCCCTAAATCTCTCCCCAGCTACTGGCATCTAAACACAAAGACACAAATTATTTTCTATTCCATGTGGAAGACATCAGGCTTACAATATGCTAATGAATTTCCTACTGAATAAAGTTTATTCAACTTACATCATGTTTCTGAATATTTGGTAACAAGGAATACAAAGTAGTAAGTTTTTGCTATACATGACTCTAAGCCCTAAATATAAAATATTCCAAAAGTACTAACATAAAAACTAAATAGAGTGAAGAATGTTTAGCGAATCAACTAAGGTTTGTTTTGTGTGTGTTTTCTTTTATTCACAGTCTATTTCCCCTGACCCTGGGGATTATAGAAGGGAAAATTAAATGATAATGAAGAATTTTGAATTTTTTTTTTCTTAGGAGGCAATCACTTTTGAGTTTTAAAGTCAGGACCTGGAAGGACAAAGAACGTTTGCTCTGCAATTTCAAAGGCCATTGTACAGATAACCAGAATTATAGGACGTAGGCAAGTGTGGTGGCCATTTGTAATCTAAACATACAAATAGCTTGGAGGCAAGCTTGAGACTTGGAGTAGCCAAAATCAGAGTGCTCTGGCTTCAGCAAGAGACTGCTAAAATGGAGAAGGACAAGACGTCTCTTTCAGGAGAAGGTGGGACCTGCTCCTCCCTGACCCCGACTCTAACTAGTGCTCACACATCCTCCTGGCTTTGGAGAGGCAGCCCAGAGGCAGGGAGGTGGCTCAGTCAGTCTAGAGTTTGCTACACAAGCATGAAGACCTGAGTTTGATCCCTAGCACATACCTAAAAAGGTCAGGTATGGTGGCATGCGCTTGTAATCCCAGCATTGGGGAAGCAGAGATGGGCAGAAGCAGGGGCAGGCAGATCCCTGGTTCACCACCTTAGCCTAACAGACAAGCCCAAGTCTTTGAGAGACCCTGTCTCAAAAAACAAGTAGAAGACTCCTGAAGAGCAACACCCAAGGTTGACTTCTGGCCTCCGAACACACATGCCTGTAGAGCATTTTCTTAATTAGTGATTGATGTGGGAGGGCCCAGCCCATTGTGGGTGGGATCTTCCAGGGATGGTGGTCCTGGGTTCTATAAGATAGCAGGTTAAGCAAGCTATGGGGTACAAGCCAGTTGCATTGCTCTGTGGCCTCTCCATTAGCTCCTGTATCTTGGTTCTTACACTGTTTCAGCCCCTGTCCTGAGTCCCTTCAGTGATGAGCTATGATGTGGAAACGTAAGCCAAATCAACCCTTTCCTCCTCAGAAAAAGAAAAAACCACATCGCTTTCAGACCTCCCATGTATATGCATGTGCACATATCAACCTGTATAGAAATGTGCACCACATACATGCAAACACACACACACACACACACACACACACACACAAACACAGACACACACATATATACATATACACTAACACACACTAACACACACACATGCATACACACACATATACACATACACACTAACACACACACACACACACACACACACACACACATATATACATATACACTAACACACACTAACACACACACACATGCATACACACACACATATAGACATACACACTAACACACACACAAACACACACACATACACACACATATACACATATACACTAACACACACACTAACACACACGTGCATGCACACACACATATACACAACACACTAACACACACACACATATACATATATACACTAACACACACTAACACACACACACATGCATGCACACACACATATACACATACACACTAACACACACACACGCACACACACATGCACACACACATACACACTCACACACACACACTAACACACACACATGTGCATGCACACACATACATATACACATACACACTAACACACACATACACATACACACACATATACATATATACACTAACACACACACTAACACACACACACATGCATGCACACACACATATACACATACACACTAACACACACACACTAACACACACACACACACACACGTAAGTAGTACACTCAAACAAAAATCAAGAATTGGTGTGTAAAGAAAAGAGCCTTCAGATAATTCCTAACTAAGAATACTGAGGTAATATCATTCACTGTTACACACAAGGGAAGAAGAAACAGCATTTCCTTAGTGTCCTACCCCATACTGATAGCCACTCTTATCCTGTTCAATGTTTTCATCTTGCCTGATACACTCTCTAGCCTACTCTGTGTGTGTGTGTGTGTGTGTGTGTGTGTGTGTGTGTGTGTGTGTGTGTGATAGTCTCATTATATTTTGCAGTTTCTTATCTTTCTTCCTGCTCTAGATAAAATATTCAAGCAGGCAGGGTTGTTCTGTTTGTTTGTTTTGTTTTATTCATTGCTTTAGATCTGAGGGTAATGATCATGACAGATCTAATCAACAGTCATCAGATTAATAAATGACCAAAGAATTAACCAGAGTGTTTGCTTTGAATATTTTGTGAGAATACCAATCTAGAGAATCAAGTAAAATGCTACTTTTCAAACTTCATGAGTGTAGGCATCATCAACAAATCTTGCCACCATGCAAATGTAGACATTATAACTACAAAAATGGGCCAAAATTCTGTATTTCACAAAGGCTGGCCGATGCTGTTGATGATACTGGTTTAAGAGTCATTAGTGTAACACAGTACTCTCTTAAATATTAGACTTTGAACCTTGACAGACTCAGTGATATCTGGGTCTTCAACCAGGATAGTGGGGAGCAAAGCCATGGATACTAGTGGAATTTCACAACCAAGCCCTATGCATTAAGAAAAGAATCAAAGGTACTCAAACTAAAGGGGAGAAAGAGAAAAGAAAGCAAAGTTGCAAAAAGAATGAGGGAACTGAAGTTGGAATAATTGTTCCCAGTATGAAATAGTGTGTCCATTAAACATGGTGAGTACATTGTTATGGACTGCTTTGTCCCACCCTCAAACAATACATTGCTGTTGCTCTTGGCTGCCTCTATAGCGAGATGCTAAGGTCCTATTTTAGACGAGTGTTGTAATGTTAAAAAGCGGCAGGAGAGAGAACGACACCATGCATCAGAGCTCACATGGAGGGGGTTTGTATTAGGGGAATGGGAACGGAAAGGGGGAGGGGAGGGAAAGACAGGCTTCTCGAAACAGGAGCAGCAGAAGAGAAAAGAGAGACAGACAGACAGACAGACAGACAGACAGAATAAAGAAAGACAGGAGATAGGCATGGCCCTTTTAAAAGGGAACATAATGAATAGATATAGGTGGTGCTCTTAGTGGCTGCAGCTGAAGGTGTATCCTGTCAGAAGAACCCCAAGGGCAGCCAGTGCAGATGCCTGAATACTAACAAAGAGAACACATGCTATTGTTTCAGTACACATAGAAATCAAGCAGGAACCGACTGACACAGAAAGCTTCCTGCTTACCTGGTTCTTTTTCCATGGGGAAAATATAATAATGCAATGTAATATTCAGTCTATCGAGGACAGAGAATCATCAATAGACTTAGTCAGATATGAACCTTGCAAGTTAAAATTCTGATCTCCCAAGTAAACTGTGCTAGCCGGTACAGTGATGACATGACAGTTATAACTGCTTTATGAAGGGATTTGCCATCCCCTCCTCAGTAGGAAATTTTTTCTGGTTGTGCACATGTAGTCCAAATTCCCTAACCAGCAAGGTTGAAGGCCCTGTGTAGTAACCTACTGTGGCTATTTTACTTAATATATACGGTGCTCAAATCGCCCTCTAAACATTTATATTTTTACCTATAGATTCGTGTTACTCTCAGCCTTGGCCAGAGTAGCCTCTTTTTTGCAATGTTCAATCCTCAATGCAGTCTCTCAACTAGTAAAAGTGCTAAAGCCCTAAATGGGACACCTGTTTAGGGACACCTGTACCAACCCTCCAATGTTCAGGGGACGCTGCAGAAAAGGACGTAGAAATAACATAACAGCGTAATATGGAGAAGATGGAGAAATGCTGTCATCTAGATCTGGCATGCCTGATGTACTCATGAACTCACTGCTGCTAGGTTTAGAGGGAAAAGATTTACACGTAAGACCAAGACAATCAACATGCAAGCATGGATGGAAGAGAGGCTTCCAAGACTCCACTCATAACTGATAACTGAGGAGATGGTGGCAGCTGATAGCTGCTGGTAGGAGGGGAGTCATTTTCTTGAGGACTGGCATATAGCCTCTGGTAAGCTGCCCATTCCCTAATGGATGGCCCCACATTCACGAACATACAGAGAAGCACTAACTGGACTCTGGGTTTGCTGTTGCTGCTTTTTGTTTGTTTGTTTGCTTTTAAGGAAGAATAGCACATAAGGTGGGTGGGCATACTACTAAGAGATGTTTGGGGGAAGAGCACAGGTGATGCAGGTTTGACATTGTCTCCGTTGCTGTTTTATTGCTGTGATAAGACACCATGACCAAGGCAACTTATCAAAGTGTTTAACTTGGGTTTATGACTTCAAAGGGTTAGAATATGTGATGGCAGAGCACAGATATTATGGGAAAACACCTGAGACCTGTTGACCCACAAACAAATGGCAGAGTTATCCAGATTGAATGGTTGAATCTTTTGAAATCTCAAAGCCTTTCAATAAGGCCACCTCCTCAACAAGTTATCTCCTAATCCTTCACAAAACTTTAGATGAACTGCAGACCAAGTATTCAAGAGATGAAGCTGTGAGGGCTATTCTCATTCAAAACACCAGAAATATAACCAAGATATATT